ACAAATAACATACATAAAAATTTTTTTTTAGGTCAACTAACCTGGCTCGTATATATAATCGGGGCGGCCATTGATGGACGCTCGTCCGTGAACACCTGCGACGAAAACGATGCCATGGATGGAGAGCTGGTCTGCAGGGTTCTTCAGTTGATGGATTTGACGGATTCAAGACTTGCTAATGTAAGTGTATCCAACCAAGTACCTTGCAAACGTTTTTACGGCAGATTTTGCCGCGCACCACCACCACCGCGAACCTATTTTTAAAAGACCGGCAACGCACTCGCGATCCCTCTGGGCTCATGGCAGATTCCATTGGCTGCGGTATCATCAAGCGAGCCTAAAAAAATACTCAAGCGAAGGGGGGGGCGGAATTTTAAACATTCTTCTGTTGCAATCGCTTTTATTTTGGGATCTTCTCTGGAGGCAAGTGAAGAGACGTGGGTGACAGTAAGTGGTGTGTTATGCCGCATTTCACTTGCTCCTCGGTCGTTTCTGTCTTTGCTGCTGCAGCAAGTATTTATACTTCAAAAATGCTTTTAAAAATCTTGGATACTAAGTTTTATCTAAATGTCCATTTAAATTAGTCTTAGGTATTCGTTTAATACCTTTTGCTTAAAAAAAAAGGCCCTACCAATTGTGAGGATACTGGCATGCCTTACACCCAGAAAGTCGACGGTGTTTGTCAGGCACAGAAGGTTGATCATCTACTTGCCTATTAGATTACGGAACAGATAGACATTTGAGGCCCAGACCTAAAAGATTGTATCGCCATTGGTATAGGTAAGACAGGGTAGAGTCAGGTGTATCACTGCTCCATTAATATAATTGACATAAAATCAATAATATCTAATACCAGCTGAACCGGAATGTATTATTTTATATTTGTTTCGTCAATTTTCCAATGTTTTTAATACAACAACATACAAGTAATCAAAAGTCATCGTAAGATTAAGTATATAATTAATTTTTTTTTTTTTTTTTTCTTCATCTGCAATCGGCTATCAGCCATAATCAGATATTTTCTGAGGTTAATTTTGGTTGGGTGTGATTCCATTGAAAGGCACCGTATGTGTTGGTAGAAACTGGATTTTTATTTTAGGTCAGTTTCTCTGGTCTAGGTCTAGTATTTGCCATCTTTTTAGGCGAGTTACATCATCTCCTGGGGTTAACAGATTCTTAGCCAGTTCGTTTGTATGTTTGGTTAACCTTTCCCTGTATCTACTACTGTTTTTGCGGATTACTTCCTTTACGGTTGGCATCAACACAAACCATTGTGCACTTGAAATAGTTCTCAGTGCAATGTTTTGAAATCTTTGGAGGATTTCGATGTTGGAATTGCTTGCACAGCCCCAGAGTTCTATTCCATATGTCCAGACTGGTTGTATGATGGCCTTGTAAACAAGCAATTTGTTACTCAGGGTCAGTCTAGATTGCTGGCCTAGAAGCCAGGATAGCTCTTTGAATTTCAAGATGGCTTCTGTTTTCTTGGCTTTTATATGATTAGCCCAGGTCAGTCTTCTGTCCAGATGTAGTCCGAGATATTTCACGCTGTTTTTGCTTGGTAACGGTTTGTCTTCTATATGCACAGGTGGACATGCCCTTTCGCAGTGTTACTTGTATTGATTTAGTTATGCTTGGCTTGATTCTCCACCTCTGCAGCCATACGTTCACCTTATTGAGCTGTTCCTGTAGTTTCAGTGAAGCGTTATTCGGGTTCACATCGCTTGCAAGGCATGCAGTGTCATCTGCGTATGTTGCTGTTACAACATTTTCTGTTTCAGGCAAGTCTGCCATATATATTGAGTAAAGGACTGGGCCAAGCACTGATCCTTGTGGAACTGAGGCAGTGATGTAATAGAGCCTTGAAAGTTCTTCCTCATACTTTACTTGGAATCTTCTTTGATCTAGATAAGATTTTAGGATCATATAGAATGAGTTTGGTAGGAGGGTACAACAATCCTTTGTGCCAAACTCTATCGAATGCCTGCTGAATATCTATGAATACTGCTGAACAATATTCTTTTTTCTCTAGCGATTGTCTTATTTTGTGAACCACTCGGTGTACTTGTTCTACAGTAGCATGTTTTTTCCGGAAACCAAATTGGTGATCGGGTATAATTCTGTTTTGGTCCAGGACTGGTTTTAGTCTCCGCAGAATTATAATTAAATAAATTTCAGGGTGGCTGTGAAAAGCTAGAGTTAGCCATGATGTCGTTCTTCGAGCAGTTTCGCAAAATATATGTTGGTGACCAAGTGCAGAAGACGAGCAAAGTGTATCGTCGACTTAGTGAAGTGTTGGGATTAAGTGATGAAAGTCAGCTGCTTAGTGTCATCATGAGAAAGATGTGAGTATACATTCTAAATATAATATATAAATAACATTGATAAATATATAACAGTCTCTCAACTCGAAATTAATAAATTCCGGACCGAAGGACCAAAATTCAAAAGCTTTCCAATGGTTGATTGTAATTATTCCGAACCAATTCGACTTATGCTTCTTTAAGAAATGAGCGAGTATTCTTAAAAGGCCGATAACGCACTCGCCAGCCTTCTGTGTGTCAATGAGCTCTTAACATCAGGTAAACCTTCTGCCTGTTGGAGAGATTTTATCAATTGATATATATACGTCAGTGATGTGACACAAAATGGTCACAGATTAAATATCTGTCAAATCCTTCTACGGTCCTAGAATTCGTAGGAATTTTATTGATCGAAATATATATGTGTCATTAGGAATGACAATTAACACTTGACGTTGACAAGCATAGTATGTCACACGTTCGACGCCATCTTGTCTTTTACAAATTAAAAAACAACTAATGTTTAAAGAACTTTATTTCTTATTACAATTTTTTATTTTATTTACATGAGATACTTAATATACACGAACAAGATACACGGTCGCCATCAGCCGTCCCAATTTTAGTCTACTAGGCTCATTCTGATACAGATACCGGCAAACATCTTGAACTAATGTCCTAGCCTGCGCAGAAGCGATTTTGTCGATCGCGTGATTGGTAAATCAGTTGACGCGCTTGTGTACGATGTGCAAGCTTTCCTCCACTCCCTTGTTTCTCAAGATTTCTCAACATTCTCAAGAAGTTTGCCGGTATCTATATGTATCTTTAAACGTTAATATTACGAATTTTAGACGGTTATTTATTAAAATTGATGTGTACAATTACTTCCAGAATAACAAATTTGAAATACTGGGGCAGTTCCGAGTCGATAATATCCAAAACGTTGGGGCTGTTGAGTGACCTGAGTGGTGGCTATGCGTGTGTACGGAAGCTGGTCAGATTGGACGAGGTCAAATTTATGTTGACGCATCATACGGTGAGTTTTAATACTTAAGTTGGGCGTTCTAACCCCCGTTTAAGCTCAAAATTCTGACTCTACTGTGAGAATTATGGATAAAGATGAATGTAGCTATTAGTTTTTATCTAATATAAAATTCTCGTGCCACAATGTGTCCTTCGAAACGGCTCTACCGATTCTTATGAAATTTTTATGCATATTCAGTTAGTCTGAGAATCGGCTACTATCTTTCAAACCCTTAAGTGATAAGGGGTGTCCACTGTCCACTCCAAAAGTTTTTTTTAAATGATACAGCATACAAATGTACAACCCCTAATTTTCACTCCTCCACGATCGACCCCTATTTTTTATTATAAATAATATATTTGGCAAAACTAACGTTTGCCCGGTCAGTTAGTTTAATAAAAATATTAAAAATGACTTTTTTCTATTACCTCCACACACACACACACACCACACACACACACACACACACACACACACACACACCACACACCCTCAATACACACCATCCCACAAATTAGTTTTTTTAGCTTCACTTTGACTTTAATTTATGTCACAACTTATATAATACTAGCTGATCCGGCAAACGTCGTTTTGCCATGTATATCATTTATAATAAAAAATAGGGGTTGATCGTTGAGGGGTGAAAATTAGGGGTTGTATGTATTTTTTAATGCTGTATCATAAAAAAATAAACAATTTATCTAAAAATTCAAATAAAAAATTTTAGGGGTGGACTACCCTTAACATTTAGGTTGATGAAAAATAGATGTTGTCCGATTCTCAGACATACCCAATATGCACACAAAATTTAATGAGAATCGGTCGAGCCGTTTTGGAGGAGTATGGCAACGAAAACTGTGACACGAGAATTTTATATATTAGATAGGCGCTACAGCCCTAAATGGGTCTTTAAATTCTATCAATTTCTTTGATCTATATTGACAATTAGGTCATCATCAGCCTTCACCGTAGATCCAAGTGCTAATTGCTCAAATAGAGAAGTGCACATCCGTGATTCGAACCCCACGACCTCAAGGTTGGGGATGGCACTCTAATACGGGTTGCAGACCAACAGCTAAGTTAGTTTAGCTTAGCTCGCATATGTTTGTATTTTTTGTATAAACATTCCAGGCGGAACACTTCCCGTTCCTTGGAATCGGCGTTGGTACTGCGGAAATGCGTTGTCGCAGTATGCTCTATACGGCGTTGGGAAGGTTATTGATGGTGGAATTGGGCGAGGACGAAGATCGATTCCACGCTTTTATGATGCCTCTTACAGGTAAAACAAATTAAAAAAAACTGTTAGTAATGTTAATAAAAATGAAATTTTAAGTATTATCTGCCTTCAAGAAGTAAGGGTCGGCAACACACCCGCTAACCCGTGGCGTTGCAGGTGTCCATGCTGTGATCATGTCTCCAGTCTCATTGGGGGGTTTTCGCTTTACTAGCACGGGGCTATACCCTCACATTGTCTATGCTTGGAAATTTTTATAATTCTTTGTTAAAAATTGATTCATGTACGGTTTAAGCACTCGCCCGGTACCGCACAACCCTCCCAAAGGCCGAGAACAAATTTAAATTAAAACTTGCCCTCGAACCGGGACTCGAACCCGGTACCCCTCACCTAGCTTTTGAGACCTTTTTCTGACAAGAGAGGGGGGGAATTTTAGTAACTTTTAATTATAAAGAGTCACTGGGTGGTCACGAAACGTTTTACTATTACGTTACAGCGCGTTACATGGGGGGGTCAATAATCTCCAAAAATTGCGCGACATAATACTTGAACCTTGAACAATGAAATTTTTTTTAAAACTTAACTAAGGCCAAAAATCTTTTGCAGCTGCCTTCGAGAGCATAATAGGCCTATTGGGAAGTGCAGAGAATCCTCTATATGCTTCCGAAGACGCGAAGAAGACGCTGATAGGCCTCGCCCGAGACTTGAGAGGTCTGGCCTTCGCGTTTAATACGAAAACGACTTATATGATGCTGTTTGATTGGATGTAAGTCATTTTTTTGAAGTGAAACTTCTTTTGTCTTTTGCAGAAATTTTGTAGCAAATCGTCACATTTTTCGGTTACGCGCCATATTTTTCTTGTGCCTACCTACCTAAATTCGTAGTTTAATTTGTTTTGTAACCAACAGATGGCGTTGTGTATGTTTAAAACTCGATAACATAACGACGCAATAGAAATACATAGCTTTTATTCATTAGGATTTTGACAGTTTTATTATTGCATACAAGTATATGGCGATTCTCTATATAGTTTCATTTATTTTTGAAGTGAAACTTCTTTAGGAGCTGCCTTTGAGAGCATAATAGGCCTATTGGGAAGTGCTGAGAAATTCGTATTTTCTATTTATATATCTTTTTTTTTATATTTTCTTCGTCATTTGAGATTTCATAAATTCTCTTTACGAATTTTTTTTTCTCACTCTCCTCTCCCTTTCGACAAAAACGCTGCACATGTTCGTGACGTTTTCGTAAAAAATTACCCTCATGCTCCTAAAGAAGTTTCACTTCAATAAAAAAAATTGTGTTTTTTTTTATGGCTGGCTAATGCACAAACCGTGCTAGGTTTGTGCATTAGCCAGCGTCAAGTATAGGATTTATTATAATTCGTGCTTGCCTTTAGAAATTCGACCGTGTCCTCCATGTACGGTTTAAGCACTCGCCGCACAACCCTCCCAAAGGCCGAGAACAAATTTAAATTAAATTAAAACTTGCCCTCGAACCGGGAATAGAACCCGGTACCCCTCACCTAGCTGCCACTTAATAAGACCGCTAGGCTATGAGGCCCTTAATTTTAATTTTAAAAATAGATTTTCGTAAATGTTCAATTTTTATATCATTTGTATGGCATCACTGTCTACTAATTCCAGGTTTAGTAAACCTTTTTTAAAAAAAACGTTATCTTTACTTGTGCGTTTTTTACTGTTTGTGATGGACTAGGCACGTAATTATCACTCGCCTATAAACCACTTTTAATGTGGAACACCGCACTTCACTAACAAAGAAATGTATAGACTCAGATGTTCAGACTCGTATTGAAATTAAAAAATGTGCCCGACCAAAAAGGTTTGTCATCTCTGACATGTCAAAAAATGATAGCTGTCAGAATTCTACGGAATTAAAAATGTTTTTTTGGTCCTTCGAGATTCCTTCGATTAATTTTTGTAACTGTTATTACAGATACCCATTGTACATGAAAGTGTTATTGCGCGGAATCGAATTGTGGTACAACGAGCCGGCCGTGACCACGCCCATACTGAAATTAACCACCGAGCTGGTGCAGAATAGGAACCAGAGGTTGCACTTTGATGTCAGCTCGCCGAATGGAATATTGTTGTTTAGGGAATTGTCCAATATTATTTGCGCTTATGGTGAGTCAGGCATGAGTTTAAAAAACCAGTGGCGCTTTTTAGGTCTGGACCTCAGATTTCTGTATCTGTTTCATGATATATCAATCTAATGGGCTAAGTAGGTGATCAGCCTTCTGTGCCTGACACACGTCGTTGACTTTTTGGACCTCAGGCGAAGGTTTCCTCACGATGTTTTCCCTCACTGTTGGAGCGAATGTTAGACACATGGACAGAAAGTCCATTGGTGCACAGTCGGGAATCGAACCTACGACCTTAGGGATGAGAGTCGTCTCAGCTCTAGGCATTAGTAATGCATGAAAAATGCAGATAGCGTCGTCCGACATTTAGTTTTTATTTTAAAATAATACTGCGCAGGCGCAGATCAAACAGCAACGATCGATTTAACTCACTATTGACTTTGACGATTTACAACCTGTAAGATGTCTATGATATTGCGTGGTGTTACCATTCTAATAAAACCCAATGACATCGTGTTCTTTTATTACATCTCTGTATGTACAGTACTTTACACATAATGTACAGAATTTGAGTTTTTTAAAAAGCATTTCAGATTATTAGACTAAAGAACCTATATAAATGTTTCGATTATGTTAATAAATATACATAAAAGCTGTCTAGGCAAGATGGCGTCGCACGTGTGACGTAACATGCTTGTAAACAAACGTCAAGTTTTACACGTTAATTGTCATTTTTGATTAACATATATATTTCGATCAAACCTACAAAATTTAAATCCAAGACATTATTTACAAGCATGCTACGTCATCGTCGCTTCGGTTAATCTGTGACCGTTTTGTGTCACATGCCTTGCGTAGAAAAATCGCACGTGTGACGTAACATGCCTGTATACAAACGTCAAGTGTCAATTGTCTTAATGACAGATGCATATTTCGATCAATAATATTACGACGAATTCTAAGACAGTATTAGTATTTCACAGGCGAAAATATTAAATCTGTGTCCGTTTTGTATCACGTGACCGACGTAAAAAAAATTTAAATATATCTATTAAATTAATTATATATATCTTCCGCTATGGACTCCTAAACAACTTAACCGATTTTAATCAAACTTGCATACCGTGTGCAGTTTGTTCTAACTTAAAAGATAGGGTATCTTACATCTCAATGTCTCTTATACCTGGCCGTTAGCGATATTGATTTTAATTGCAAAATATTTGTTTATTATCGCTTGATAGTCACAAATCTGTCGGTCCTATATTATATATTATAAATATATCAATAATAATATAGATTGCGCGTCACGGTGTTTGTCGCGCTATGGACCCCCTAAGGTACCAACCAATCAAACAAATTTGCACACCGTGTGTAGTTTGATCCAACAAAAGAATTGATAAGATAGCCTTAATCTTAATGCCCGCAATATTACCTTATTACAAAAAATTTGTTTATGGTTTGTCCCAATTCTAACAATGACCTGTGTTGAAAGTACCAACGTTTAATAATTACAATTAAACAAAAAGCATGGTGGTCCCCATGACTAGTGTTCTACCGTTTCCCTTGAATAGTTTGCTACTATGTAATATAACAAAAACCTTAGCCACAGCAACGCTTGGCCGTTCTGCTAGATATATATATATTATAGTTTCAATACTGTTAAATTTCTTGAAAGCTTTTAATTTTTTTTTTTAATTTTTCAGGTAGTAGAATACTGACAGTCGATGTAAGCAAGAAACAAATGTACACGATGAAAGTGAAAGGCATTTCGTTGTGTTTCTCCATACTTAAGACGGCTCTATGTGGAAATTATGTTAATTTTGGTGTTTTTAGGTATGTATTAACTATATTTTAATTCCTTCAAAGGCCGGCAACACACCCACTAAAAGTGGGTGTCGGTGTAGACTGCCCTTTTTGGTCGTCCCGCAAGCTCGTTTGCCCCCCTATCATATAAAAAAATAATAATAATTAAGGATGCATCCGATACCGATATATCGGCGATACTTTGGGTTTGCCGGTATATCGGCATCGGCGATAATTTAATTACCGATTCAACGATACTTTTCAAATTTCACGCTTTAAAAAAGTAATATAAACGTGCATTTTGTATGATCTTGATTATATATAATTTTTTTCTCAATCTTTGCCAGCTCATATTTATTAGATATTATAGCTTGCGGGAGATCATTGAGACTAATATAATATAATTTTTTTCTCAATCTTTGCCAGCTCATAGTTATTAGATATTATGGCTTGCGGGAGATCATTGAGACTAATATAATATAATTTTTTTCTTAATCTTTGCCAGCTCATAGTTATTAGATATTATAGCTTGCGGGAGATCATTGAGACTAATATAATATAATTTTTTTCTCAATCTTTGCCAGCTCATAGTTATTAGATATTATGGCTTGCGGGAGATCATTGAGACTAATATAATATAATTTTTTTTCTTAATCTTTGCCAGCTCATAGTTATTAGATATTATAGCTTGCGGGAGATCATTGAGACTAATATAATATAATTTTTTTCTTAATCTTTGCCAGCTCATAGTTATTAGATATTATAGCTTGCGGGAGATCATTGAGACTAATATAATATAATTTTTTTCTTAATCTTTGCCAGCTCATAGTTATTAGATATTATAGCTTGCGGGAGATCATTGAGACTAATATAATATAATTTTTTTCTCAATCTTTGCCAGCTCATAGTTATTAGATATTATGGCTTGCGGGAGATCTTTGAGACTTGATTGAACGTAGATTTGAAGATCATTTAGTTGGCTTTTAACTGCTATCGCGAGTAGTATTTTTTCAATACCAAATTAAATAAAATACACAATTACAAAAATATTATCATTGTTCATTTTAATTATTAACTGTTGTTTATTTTATTTTAATTTAATTATTACTCTTAATTCTCAATTTTAGTAACTAAACCTTTAATACTATTCAAAGTTTGTGACTATATACATATATATATCTAATATATAAAATTCTCGTGTCACAATTTTCGTTCCCATACTCCAGCGAAACGGCTCGACTGATTCTTATGAAATTTTTATGCATATTCAGTAAGTCTGAGAATCGGCTACTATCTATCTTTCAAACCCTTAAGTGATAAGGGGTGTTCACCACAAAAGATTTTTTTTATTTAAAAAATATATAATTTTGTTTTTATTATTTTTTGATACAGCATACAAAAATACATACAACCCCTAATTTTCATCACTCTACGATCAACCCCTATTTTTTATTATTGCAGGTAGTTATTTTTATTGAACTAAAAATATGTTTCCTAGAAATAATATTATGTAACATGGCAAAACAACTTTTTAACGTTTGTCGGGTCAGCTAGTATATATATATTTAAATAAAAATTATAAACTTTAACGCCTTTAGTACACCTACGCGTTCGTATGCGGCTGCGAATCTTTGCGAAATAATTGCGGAACATTAGTACACTGCAGTTTTTTCGCAAGGAAATGTCATTGTAGCTTTATTTCTTACCATCTATCCCCGTCTTTTCTTGAATTTTCCTCCATGCCACCTCTTTTTTGTATGCATTTTTGTAATTAACATGCCCAACTAAGTATAATACGGGATAATTTCGAATCAAATTTAATAATAATTCAATATTTTCGGCTTCCATTGTGCGAAATTCTGTCCTCACTGACAGAACGCGTGGTGACGCATTGCGATGCGAAACTCCGCTAGCGAAACGGCTGCGTCTGTGTAACAGCCATTTCGCAGTTACTTGCGAAACAATACCGACAAGGACGCAACTATTTCATCTAGCTATGTAATAGAGCGAGACAAAACACATGCGAAACGTTGCCATACAACTTACAGTCTTTTCGTCGTTTCGCTGCCGCATGCGATTGCGTAGGTGTACTAAAGGCGTCACTAAACTTGATATATTTTTTCTTAATTTAATTTTAATTCAATAAGCGTTGGTATCGGTATCGACGATATTTCTTTATGAGTATCGGCATCGTATCGTATCGGCAAAAAAGCGTATCGATGCATCCCTAATTTTAATTAAATATCGTATATAAAGTGGCCATTAATGAGTTAGCAAAATGTGCTCCAAAATTTTAGGTCGTTTCGTGATGAGCAAGTATATGATCAAGTTCTTTACAGTCTCCGACTTGTTTAAATGTATACGGATCCGACGTACACGTACGCGCACAAAATATCATCAGAATCGGTCTAGCCGTTTAGGAGTTTATGAGCACGCATAGAAGATATATAAATATTTTTGAATGTTAACTTACAACTTATATGAACCATTGGAACGAATATATATATATATATATATATACTAGCTGACCCGAAAAACGTTAAAAAAGTTGTTTTGCCATGTTACATAATATTATTTCTAGGAAACATGTTTTTAGTTCAATAAAAATAACTATCTACAATAATAATAGTCGGGGTTGATTGTAGAGGGGTGAAAATTAGGGGGTTGTATGTATTTTTTAATGCCACATAATAAAAAACTTATCACTTAGGGATTTGAAAGATAGATAGTAGCCGATTCTCAGACTTACTGAATATGCATAAAAATTTCATAAGAATCAGTCGAGCCGTTTCGCTGGAGTATGGGAACGAACATTGTGACACGAGAATTTTATATATTAGATTTTTTTTTTAAACGGGTCTAAGCAAATTTTTTTTCAGGTTATATGGTGACGACGCCCTGGATAATGCGTTGAATATGTTTGTTAAATTATTGTTAAATATACCACAGAGTGACTTATTGGTGAGTTTCTTTTTAATCTTCACGCCTTAAGAACCGTTCATTTATTACGTAGAGGGCCTCATAGCCTAGCGGTCTTATTAAGTGGCAGCTAGGTGAGTGGTACCGGGTTCGATTCCCGGTTCGAGGGCAAGTTTTAATTTAATTTAAATTTGTCCTCGGCCTTTGGGAGGGTTGTGCGGTACCGGGCGAGTGCCTAAACCGTGCATGGAGGACACGGTCGAATTTCTAAAGACAAGCACGAATTATAAAAATCCTATACTTGACGCTGGCTAATGCACAAATCGTGCCAGAGCCATTTAAAAAAAAAAGTATTACGTAAACAGATTTACTGCAATGTAAACCCTAAGATTATTACAGAATTTCATTAATTGTAATATAATTATTACTATCATTGCTGTATTATATATATTTTTTATTAATGGCTTTGAATCTCTTCGGATCAACCGTGGTAGGGACAAGAAAAAGATGTCGCGTAACCGAAAAATGTGACGACTTGCTACAAAATTTCTTCCATACGTCGATAAAAATTTTCTTTTTTTTTTATGGCTCTGGCACGGTTTGTGCATTAGCCAGCGTCAAGTATAAGATTTTTTTATAATTCGTGCTTGCCTTAGAAATTCGACCGTGTCCTCCATGTACGGTTTAAGCACTCGCCCGGTACCGCACAACCCTCCCAAAGGCCGAGAACAAATTTAAATTAAATTAAAACTTGCCCTCGAACCGGGAATCGAACCCGGTACCCCTCACCTAGCTGCCACTTAGACCGCTAGGCTATGAGGCCCCCCGAAGTTTCACTTTAAAAATATTAAAATACTAGTGGACCCCACAGACGTTGTCCTGCATGATATTTAAAGCGATTAGGATATTAAGCAAAGTATGAAAGTACCGACTGCAGTGCCATCTGCCGGGCTGATTTGTGAATCTAAACCATTCCCAGACCCCCTTGAACACACACAAAAATTTCTACAAAATCGGTCCAGTCGTTTGAGAGAAGTTCAGTGACACACTCACAGAAGAATTATATATATAATATATTAAAATATTACGATTTTTTTTTCAGTTCTATCCAAAACTATCCCAGACCTATTATGTACTATTGGAGAGGCTTGCGCAAGATCACATGCCGTATTTAGCGTCTATACAGCCAGATGCTACATTATATATTCTTTCTTCGATATCGGAGGGGCTCACTGCTTTAGGTGAGTGAGTGATTTTAGATCGACTTAAATTACATATTTGATTTATTTATTAAAACTTCGTCACATTAAATTAAACAAAAAAGGGTACGTGTACTTATGTACGCGCGTAAGAATATACTTCTTTGGCATTATTAATTATACACATAGTTAACCTCAATTGTATTGAAGCACTTAGGAAGGCTGATGAGCACAGTTTTTTCACAAATATTTTCTAATATTAATTAGTATTGATTTAAATATTCAATTTAAATCACTTCTGATTATAAAAAACTTGTATAATGAAAACAAAATGAAAACACGTGTTTTCAATGTAGAAACTCAAAGCATGTGGATAAATATTATGAATATAAATACACAGTGAACAGAGGCGGCGTGCGTGCCAACATGCGCCATTCTGTTAATTTTGTGTCACGGTGCGCACGCATCGTAAAATTTCACTCATCAATTTTTCATAACGCGCCTAAAGAAGTATAACTTCAAAAAGTGCGTGCGTACAAAATATGTACACAAACCAATTTTTAAGTCTTGTTCATATTTATACAAATCTAAAAATTTCCGAGACTTAGAGGGAGGGAATTTAATGAATTTAACTGTCATTAAAATATTAAGTGTCGAAAATTAATACAAATTATAAATTTATTTCTTCGATAATAAAAACACGTGGCATTTAAATTTACAATTCGTCATTTGAGATTTCAATAAATTATTTTGCAGAAAATATAAAATACTAATATTTCATAAATTCTCTAAGAAATTTTAATTTTAAAAATAGTATTTCTATAAGGTATTCCTTCTCACTCTCTCTCTCAATCGCTCTCTCCCTTTCGACAAAAACGTGACGTATCCGTAAATTTACCCTCATGCGCATAAAGAAGTTTCACTTCAAAAAAGATAAGTAATTTTGGATTTTTTATAATTTTTTTTTTTCAGACACGAGTGTATGTACAGGATGTTGTTCTACTCTAGATCACGTAGTAACATATTTATTTAAGCAATTAGTACAGAAATGTAAGTAATATTTTAACCCGTATATGTATATAAGTTGAGCGTTTAAATTTCAAAAATGCACTGCTCACGCACAGAAGGCAGACCCAGTGGCGTACCCACCCGATCGAAAGTAAAAAGCAATAAATTTTATATGATAAAGGACAAAGATCGCTAGTATGGGATGGGGAATCCCCCACGACAGCTTCAGGCTCTTTTGTGGAAATCCCCGAATTCTACATAGAGCTGAGCTAGTGCTAGTGGAGGAATTCTTGATAAAGAAATTTTTATGCTAGCTTTGTTTGTACTTTGTTGACCCCTAAAAAAGTGACATCCGTTACGGGCCGCCCCCCTTTGCTACGCGACTGGGCAGACCTAAACGGCTATTACTGTGAGATTTTAAAAACTGTTTCAGATTTTTATTAATAAATTCTATACAAAATGTATTTAATTCTGTAAAGAGTAAAGGGAGCGTTCAAGTATTACGTCACGCAATTTTTTATATTATTGAAACCCCCCCCATGTAACGAGCCGTAACGTTTTTCTGTACCTAAGTAGACAAGATGGCGTTTATTAATTTAAGTTTAATGAGCTATCAGATAGGCCCTTAACAATATTTTAATCTAATTTTTCAGCAAGTAAAGCATCGAATCCGAGACAGCCGACGCCGGAAAGCAGTAATATGTTCATAGAAGTGCTCCAAAGGCGGCCGGAGATCATGCAGCAGCTATTGGCAACTGTAAGTTATTTTTGAGCAGAATGAGAAGTTTTGGCCTAGTGGCTTCAGCGTGCTACTCGTCCTTGAGGTCGTAGGTTCAATCCCCGGCCGTGCTTGGGGTCACCAATGGACTTGGGGGTCGTTCAAATATTACGTACATATTGGTGTGGGGGGTATTGATTTTCTTATTTGGTGATTACGTCAACAGTAATTATTTACTTTTTTACACATTGTTTATGCTTGAAAAGGAAAAGTATTTTCGAGGACTCGCACGAAATATTAATTCGTTTATGTACTATTATTTTTAAGATCTTTGCTTACTCATCATATGGGGGGGGGTTAAATTGCAGTAAATCTCCTTACTTTAGTTAATACTTGAACGCCGCATTTCTTTCTAAGTGCGTATTTGCATTTGCCAAAATTTGCGGCGTGTGTCAGGCACTGGATCACCTACTTGCCTATTAGATTGACATATCATGAAATAGATACAGAAATCTGAAGCCCAGACCTAAAAAAGGTTGTAGCGCCACTGATTTATTGCTTATTATTATTCGCAAGTTAAGGGCGTAGAGCTGGGAAGAAACTCTCTGTTATTTTCGACTTTCCAGTGGTCACGAAACGTTTTACTATTGGGTACAGAAAAACGTTACGGCGCGTTACATGGGGGGGTCAATAATCACCAAAAATTGTGTGACGTAATACTTGAACGCTCCCTTACCTAAATGAATAAATTATTTTGATTTGAGTTGATTTGACTTATATAAAGGACATCTTCCACAGGTAGTGAACGTGATAATGTTTGAAGAATGCTGTAACCAATGGTCCATGTCTCGGCCGCTCCTTGGGCTCATTCTACTGAATGAAGAACAGTTCTCTGGTCTCCGCTCTGAGCTCATCTCCCAACAGCCTCGGCATCGGCAGCATCACCTGGCCCAGTGCTTCGACCAGCTCATGTCTGGCGTCGAGAGGAATCTGCTTACGAAAAATAGGGATAGGTGAGTGATATTGTCATGACAAGGCGTTTCACATACATTTTGCAGCCGGAATAGATGATGCTGTCAAAATTAATGTCGTCTGACAACAGTAGAACATACTGGCGAAATGGAATATTGTTTTCAGCCGTACTAGAAGTTGCTGTCAAAAGTAAAGTCGTCTGACAACAGTAAAACACACTGGCGAAATAAGATATTGTTTTACAGCCGTACTAGGAGTTGCTGTCAAACTTAATGTCGTCTGACAACAGTAGAAGACACTGGCGAAATGGAATATTATTTTTCAGCGGTACTAGAAGATGCTGTCAAAATAAATGTCGTCTGACAACAGTAGAACACACTGGCGAAATGGAATATTATTTTACAGCGGTACTAGAAGATGCTGTCAAAATAAATGTCGTCTGACAACAGTAGAACACACTGGCGAAATGGAATATTATTTTACAGCGGTACTAGAAGATGATGTCAAAACAAATGTCGTCTGACAACAGTAGAACACACTGGCGAAATGGAATATTGTTTTCAGCGGTACTAGAAGATGCTGTCAAAATAAATGTCGTCTGACAACAGTAGAACATACTAGCGAAATGGAATATTGTTTTCAGCCGTACTAGAAGTTGCTGACAAAATAAATGTCGTCTGACAACAGTAGAACACACTGGCGAAATAAGATATTGTTTTACAGCCGTACTAGGAGTTGCTGTCAAACTTAATGTCGTCTGACAACAGTAGAAGACACTGGCGAAATGGAATATTATTTTTCAGCGGTACTAGAAGATGCTGTCAAAATAAATGTCGTCTGACAACAGTAGAACACACTGGCGAAATGGAATATTATTTTACAGCGGTACTAGAAGATGCTGTCAAAATTAATGTCGTCGAACAACAGTAGAACACACTGGCGAAATGGAATATTGTTTTCAGCCGTACTAGAAGATGCTGTCAAAATAAATGTCGTCTGACAACAGTAGAACATACTAGCGAAATGGAATATTGTTTTCAGCCGTACTAGAAGTTGCTGACAAAATAAATGTCGTCTGACAACAGTAGAACACACTGGCGAAATGGAATATTGTTTTCAAAAGACCAATAAAATCTGGTGCCAACGTTGTAAAGTGAACCCGACCATACCGTTTCATGGCTAAAATGTTTTACACTATAAAAACGTGACAATTTACATTAAATACAATCCCACAGACCAACCCACAGATTAATATCAGTTTTTTAATACAGTCAATCATCTCAAATAAATTCTATGGGCTTACGATATAGATTGTATCAAGTACTGAATAAGTGGAAATGGTGGTGTCTCTGATTGGACTTTGAAATGTGTATTTAATTTTATATGTAATAAGTGTCAGGAGTAACTATGTAGTACACTAGATAACTAAATATAAGAGAGGGTGGGAACGAGAAGCCCTACAGTTGTACCCTAACACATAAGTAAGTATATAAGCAATGTATGTATGTAATATGTGAATATATAAATAAGCGCACCTAGATACCTAACATATAAAATAATTCAAACTCAAAATAACTTTATTCATATAGGTACACAAGTACACTTATGAACGTCAACAAAAAAGATGTTAAATTGATTCCAAATGTACATTTAATACTAGTTCGCTTCGAGCGCGTAGAGCGGGCAAGGGGCTTCGCGGAAGGAGATTATATTTCGAGTTTAAACACAAATAAAAAGAAATGCCTTAGTGGTATAAAATCTGCGAAACAAATATAATAATGAATAGCGTGACCATGGCACTGACTATTGACTGCCAAGAGCATAGACACTCACACCAGTGTCTATATCTGACATTTTAAAATGACAAACAAAAATTATGATAAAAATGCCATAAAAACAAAATCTTTGTTTGTATGCATCAAGTATACGTTAAAGTCGTTGCATAACTACTAATTATTATTCAAAAAAAGAACAAAACGTCACTCGACATTGACAGTTTAGTTTTACAGAATTATCGACAGATGATATGATATTATTCTTTACAACACATAATTTATTGAAAATACTTTTTTTAATTTCAGGTTCACACAAAACCTATCGATGTTTCGACGCGACATCACTGACCTGCTGAAAGGAACAACCGTCAATACACCGTCTGTCAATGACATGATGACGTCATAATGTCAAGGATAACTGTCATTTAACGAAGCACAGTGAATGATATGATGACGGTATAATGTTGAAATTGACCCTGCGTTTGACGTTATTATGTCAAAATGATAGAATGATGTTCACATCACACGTTACAGCCATGGTTACAGCAACGGCTTATCACGTCAGAATATCATCACTGTTAATTGGCATATATTGTAAAACGTCTTAAATTTGACGTAATTATAGACTGTCAAACGGTTGACGTGTCATTGTCAATCCCATATCACTATACTGTCCGCATCAAAATAATAGTTTCTGCGCACAATATACAAATTAATGGAATTGTACACAGAATATAGACGCGGACACATTTCTTTGCAAATCAGTGCTGTATTTGAAAGATTTTTTAAATCGTGTATATTACCATGTTATAGGCAAACATTCGTATCGGGACCTAAACCCGTCATACATAATAGTTCGCGGTAGAAGAAAATATTTAGAGTTAAGACAAAAATAATTTTTTTATGTAAGCTTAATGGTATAAAATCGACGAAACAAAAATTACCAAAAAAATAACGTGACCATGGCACTGACTGATGACTGCCAAAAGCATAGACACTGGTGTCTTTACCAATATTTTAAAATGGCAAAAAAAAGATACAGAAATGTGTCTAATGTATTCTGTGTACAACAAATTGTTTTTATTTTTGACAAGTATGGGGTTATAGCAAATTAATGTCAAATGGTTTTGATGGAGTCGAGATTTAAATATATTATGTAAAAAAAATACTTTATTTTAACTTAATTATCGCTTTCTTAGCAGTAAAAGGTGAGAAACAAAAGACGTAAGACGTCAAACGTCGTGTTATGACATATCATGACCATGCGGTTGACCAATCACAATGGAACAGAACGCGCTATTGTGTCTTTAAGTATATATTCACACATCCCAGGCCTGTTCTAAGAAAAATTTAATTTCGAACGCCAACACTGACCTGAAATTCGAAATTTGAAAACTGAAGATGTTTAAGTTTTTTTTTTTAATTTAGTACATGACCATGGATACAAGTCTTTCAGCCTATTTATTCAACGGTTTTTTAAATTACCAAAAATTTTTTTGCAATTAATTCGCTATAACCCTGTAATTACTGTATTTGTTTTGATGAATTTTGCACAGTTTATCCTAGACTAAAACGTAGGAATCATTCCAACTTGACAATTGTGTAGTGAAAAATTTTATCGGTTTAAAACGTGTGCAGAAATGAAGTACGATTTTAAATTTGCTAAGGAATGATTTAGCGAATAACAGGTAATCACAAAGGTTATTTTAAAATAATTATAAGAAATATTGTTTAATTATTAATATTAAGGGTCTGTTTCACAATGTACGGATAAGTTCTACATAAGTTCCAAATTAGCTATTTATTACTTATTGGTAGGATAAACACTATTGTTGCGTTTCACGACTGTCAGATAGCGCTATTCGTCACATAAAGTCCATCATAAGTTATGAGTTCGATGAAGTGTCAAACAGTCCAATTTATCTTCCAAATAATTTATGCTATTAGCTATTTGGTACTTTATCCATACATTGTGAAACAGACCCTAAATCGTCTTAAGGACAAAAAGTCAAAGTCTATTTCTAAGTTTTAACATGTAATTAGGCTAGAAATTGAAAATTACACGTTTTAATCCGATATACGATGGTAATTTGTATAGTTTTTGATTCGTTAAGCTATTTGTGAGGCGAATGTAAATATTCTAATAAAATGTGATTTATACAATTATTTGTTTATTATTCAATTCCCCTAATTATGAATACAATAACAAATAAATCAGTGGCGCTCAACCTTTTTAGGTCTGGGCCTCAGATTTCTGTATCGGTTTCATGATCATTTGTCAATCATAATAGGAAAGTAGGTGATCAGCCTCCTGTGCCTGACACACGTAAATTTTTTTGGGTCGACAACATGTCGGTTTCCTCACGATGTTTTCCTTCACCGTTCGAGCAAATGTTAAATACGCACATAGTCCATTGGTGCACAGCCCGGGATCGAACCTACGACCTCAGGTATAAAAGTCGCGTGTTGGAGACACTAGGCCAACACTGCATCAATTACTCAAACTCAAATCTATTGCATTCCTTATGTACATAATTTATTACAATAAGGACCTTTGCTAGGCACTGCAATGTTGTGAGAGATCATGCTTTATTATAGTTAATTATATTCTTATAAGATACATTACACGACTCTACAAAACAATTTTCGTTCTTTGTCCTAAAGTTTATACTATTATTTTCCAGTTAGTTATGCACAAAAACGAAAAGAAAATACATTTTTTCGGTATAAAGTTTGCTTTTGTGATAGTTATAATAATAACACTCAGTTTTCAATTTTTTCATAAATTTTAATTGATTTTAATATTTTTAAAAAGACCGCGCGGTGAGAGTGCGGTATTAACGTTTACACTGTGCCGCTAGATGGCACCCGAGTGATAAACAACCATCAGGTGTTATTTACAAGCCCAGAATAACTTAAAATGTCGTCACGAAAGTGCAAATACGATGCTGATGCATTTTATTTTATATATGGTCAATTTATTAAAGTTCGAGACGTGAAATATAGCAAAAGCAAAGTTTTTCATGCCATATATTTTTTTTCCGTCTTATTACGACCTAAACTACCGAAATTTAATGCTTTGCAATCAAAGTCAAATTTCATGTTGACCCGTGTTATTTTTTTGGTATATTTGCTCTTCACGTTGGGAAAAGGTACTTAACATTATCAATAAACTTTTATAAAGAAATTAAAGTCTACCAGTCAGATACTCTAACAGTGTAATAACATTTCTCATACAATAATTGATTTAGAAATTTGGTGAACCTCAAGTTATTTGTTTCGTTCTTCAAATTTTCTGGTAATTTGTTATATTTTTATGGAGGAGGTGATGATCCTGATTGATGTAATGTTAGTCTGGATGTAGGTGGAATCAGTTGGTTTTTACGAGGTCTTAGTGAGTAAAGGGTTTTTGTATCTTCCCTTTTTTATACATATTAGGATATTTACGAATCAATTTATACGATACATTATAAAAATAATAATAAATTGGCCGTATACCTAAGGTTATTTATTATAAATATATTCATTTTAAAAGCTGGCAACGTACTTGCAAGCCCAATGTGAGTGTCTATGGGCGGCGGTATCACTTAACATCAAATGCGCTTATACTCGTATAAAAGAGGGTGCGTGTACCTACTTATGTACGCGCGTAAGAAGTAATACTTCTTTGGCATTATTAAAAATAGTTTTTGATTGCATGGAAATAGTTAATCACAATTAAACTGGAAAAGGAGTCATTATAGTCAATAAAGTTCTGTTGACATTTGAAAACTTAAATTAATTAATTTATTTAAAAGAACCCGAGAATCAAATCCCCCCCCCCCCCATGTAACTCGCCGTAACGTTTGTTAGTACCCAAGTACAGTACTGTATCCAAGTCTAGTAAAACGTTTCGTGACCACCTAGTGACTCTTTAGTTACTATTATGTGGTGTAAGTCGTGGCGTTACGTTACGTAATACTTGAACGCTCCCTAAATTAGACAAGTGAACCCTGCCCGTTTGCCCCCTGTTATACAAAAAAATAGATAATGAATCAGGTGGAAGTTCAGTTTTCTTTATGAACAATTACTGACACGTATGGAAGCCATGACGATGATGGCGGTTTATGTAAAGCAAAGGGTTAATTGTAGAATCCACCCGCTGATTCACACGGCTATAGTGCGATTGCGCATTTTGATCCAATTTTACAATAAAATACGTATTTTATATTTCACAAAAAAAAACTGCTTACCGCTACAAATCTCTAATCCTAAATCCTATTATAAAGCGAAATTTCATCTTTCTGGTGTTATTTTCCCTTGAACCAGTAAAAATCTGAATCTTGAAACTTCTACCCACGTCTCTCTTCGCCTAGGATCTCCTTACCTTTAGATCTTTAATCCTAAGACCCGTAATAAAGTCTAATTTTATGTTCCTATCAGATAGTAATGTTCCCGTTAACCAGTACAAATTATAAGTTTTATTTTAATTAAAATATTTTATAGAACTTGGTATTTTTAAACCTACGGCGGCAACCAACATAAGTAGTTATATTTCTTCCACAACTCTTTTTAAAGTTTTATACGTATTACTCTCAATAACATATTAACATAGTTAATACTATCAAATAGCCTGTTGTCTCTCTATACATATATAGTAGTTTTATGAGTTCTCAGCTAATTTGATTAGTAGCGTAAGCCTACCTCAAAAAATAGACTTTTCACTGCGAAACTAAGCTAAGTATTTAACTATGTGGAACCAGCTGCCCACTGAAGTATTTCCGAACCAATTCCAAAGTGTCCATCAAGAAAAGACCGTACCAAATCTTAAAAGGTCGGCAACACACTCGCGAGCCCTCTGGCATTAAAAGTTGGTGGTATCACTTAACATCAGATGAGACTCCTGACGGTGTGCTATTCTATCTATAATATAGATCTATTAAAAAAAAACATTAAAATGTCAAACGGTTGCGAGCGCTCTATACAACAAGTTCCACTGTCATTAAACTGCTATTTGAAATAGAAAGCACTATGACTACAACGCTATGGAGAAGTTATTACATTATTAAAATATAATATTTTCTTATATAAAATGTTTTAAGTTGGCGCCTGGTAGATAGTACCGGGGACCCCAGAGCTGGTGCTTTCCTCGCTCAACGAATGAGTATCGCAATACAACGAGGAAAGCGTTATACACTGCCACAGGGACCAAACTTTTTAAATTTGTTTTAATTTTTATTAGTATGTATTCAATTCTCAATTCTTTAATTATTATCATAGCTTACTCTAATAAATATGTTTTTGAGTCAAATGCAGAATGGTTTTTTTGCCGCGTAGACACATAATTTTTTGAAGTTGTACTTCTTTAGGCGCGTTATGAAAAATTGATGAGAGTGAAATTTTACGATGCGCGCGCACCTGAGACAC